ACCTCCCTGGGCAGCCTGTTCCAGGGCTCCGTCACCCTCAGAGGGAAGAAGTTCTTCCTCATGTTCAGACGGAACTTCCTGTGCCTCAGTTTGTGCCCGGTCTAGGGGGGAGGTGATGACGTTAAGCTGTCCTTGGACAGAACGCACTTTAAATCTCCACGTTTGGCAAGCCAGCGTCTCTGAAAGCCCAGGTTTAGCCACTGCCCAGCTGAAGCCTGCTGTCTCTTGAAGACAGGTTGCCAGACCCCGATGCCTGGTGCGTGCAGCGTTTTCCTGGCACGGGCGGTGCGGCGCGGAGAGGTCCCAGCTCTGCGCGCTGCAACCTTCCATCCCACAAAGCCTGAAACCCAGGTTGGCGCGCCTCAGCTGCAGAGATTTCCTTCCCCTGTACCTTCCTACGAGCAGACTGTCGTTTCCAGTCTGCCGCTGAGTTGGCCGTTGTCCTTAGGACCTGCTGCAGCACATCCCCTCCCCCAGGACAGCGTGTCATTCGTGTTACCTCGCGCTCCCTTGCGCTCCACTTCTGCTGCGGTTTTTACTGAATGGCTCTGCCATAATGGAATTATCACTCAGGGTGAGGATTAGCTGACTTGCCACAGGGGGTTTATAATAAGAGTTATTCCTTTCGGCTGAGCGCAGACATTTTTACGTGGCTGAAGCGACTCAGGGGGTGCCCCTTGCCTGCAGGCTGAGGTCGCTGCCAGGCTCCGCTCCGCAGTCGGCCTGTCCCCGTGTCGGGGGGAGGCAGAGGAGGGATCGCCCTCGGAGCTGTGGTAGAGACCCGGGCAGCTCAGCAGGACAGATCACCTTGGGGACGCAGGGCCCGGATCTCTGCGGGTGTTCGGGTACCTCTGGGGTGCTGGCTGGGCTCCCCAGTCCACAGGGCAGCGGGGCCTGGGAGCAGAGGAGCGGGGCTGGTGGGAGCAGCGCTGTGTGGGGAGCTGCCCCGGTGTCGGGGCTCCATCCCCCAGACTGTGGTCCCGCGGCCGGGGACTGGCGCGCCGTGCCGTTCGTCGCCGCGGAGCGCAGGTGTGAGGTGAACCTCTGCCGCAGGAGCGTTACGGAAGGGCAATCCCTCGGGGTCAGGGCGCGCTTCCCCGATGCGGGTTGGCACGTAGCCCTGCTGGGCTGCCCACGAGGAGTTGCGGCGGTGTCGAGAATGCTGTGTCTGTTTTCCTCCGCAGATCGTAACTGAAGAGCAAAGGGCAGCGTGTGTGGGTTGAGAAGAGGACAGCTCATTAGCCATAATGTATATACGTCAGGCCGCGCTCGGAAACTCCCTCAGCAGTAAGACATCCACACATTGCATGTTAACGAGACGAAACGAGAACGTGGAAACCCCCCGCACACTGTTGCCTATCTACTTTGTACATGGAATTGATATTTGTGCTGAGGTGATCTTATTGTCTCAAAGCCACACCGTTGTCTGCCTTTTCTAGCGCAGAGCCTGCGCACGGGTCTGCGCACGCGTCTGTAGGCTCCGTCCTACGTAGCCGTGCGTGTCACCGTGAAGAGACAGACGACGGTGTAACCGTTAATCTATTCTGTATTGGTACGTCTGTAGACCAAGATATAATTTTTTAAAGTAAGTTTATTTCTTTCAAGGTTTACAAATAACAAAGGTGCACCTTGTATTTAAAATTGCCATTATAGACGAGAGCGTGCATGCACAGTAATTTTTGTTTAAGAGTAATATTTTTAATGTAATAGATTGTAAGAAGTGGCGAGAGAGGTATCTGACAGAGATGAATGTGCCAAGCGAAACCACAACTGTGTACGTTTTAAAGCACACCGATGGCTTTAAATCCCCTGTTGTTAAGGATTCTCATGAAGTGCCATAGACTGTACAGCCGAGGAGAGTATTATTTCTGCAGTGTTATTTTCAGAACCACATCTTCACTTACTTCGTTAGCACGAACCAGTCAAAGGGCACCGTTCTGTTTCAAACCAAAGCTGTCTCAGAAATGGCCACCTACTCCTGCCGGTAACAGCGGGCAGCGCAGGAGAGAGACTCCAGCTGTACAGATTAACCCATCCTGGACATATATATAACCTATTTTAAGGCGTTGTAGTGTAATATTTATGCGTATTTTACTGTATAACATGATGTGCGAAAGGGAAAAGCCATTTCTGAGACACAGTAACAAACGTTGGAGGAACTTCTTTTGCTTCTATTTGTAGCCTCTGTCGAAAGTCGAAAGGACTATAAATGTTTTGCAGAGGTGGGCTCACTTTTACTTCATCGAAGTCACGCTGTACGTGGTGACTCTAAACGAAGACGAGAGAAGCACTGACATCAGATGCATGACAAACCAAAATGCGACAAAACAGAGACGTTAATTAGCGTAGAAATTGGGTGGGTTAAATACTGGGGTGAGTTTTATATGTGATTTTTTTTTGTTCCGATTAACTGCTTATAGCCTTAGAAAGCCTTTACAAAATAAAAACAAAACAATAGATGTGCATTCAAGTTTAGAGGATGGATTCATCCCAAGGAACTCCTTTTCGTGGTTTGGATGTTGCAGCTAGTAAAGGATATTTTTGCTCTGTTCAGCAAAGTGCTGACATGGGGGCCAGGTCACTGGTAGCGTCGCGGGGAGTGGAAGAAGCGCGAGTTCGGTTGTAGAACTCTCCATACTTCCGAGTTTACTGCGAGTTTTTATGCTTGAGAGAGATGCTTTATAGAATAAGAATGATGTGTTGATTTTCCTGATTGTACTGTACATCTATTAAAGCCTTAGATGATTACATTACGGGTTAAAACCCATACCAATGTAATTTCAATCCTGTTAAGAAAGTATAGGTGACTTCACATGTTATTGTAGTTACTTAACGTCATAGAACATTACTTATTTTTTTCTTGTTAAAAGTAGTTCTTCTTTCTTACATTTATTAGATTGTTTTCATTTTCTATTACCAGTTGAATACCATTTCAGTTTATAGAATTTTGTTTTACTAGAGTTTACTGATGACTTTTTCAAAATACAAAAAAAAAAAGTAGTTTTCTTCATAACATACTCAGTTTGAATTTACGTGTAGTGTCATATGAGTATTCGTATTCTTGTTAACTAAATGATTTCTATTTTCCTGATTTCATATTACAATGTAAGAATGTCAGTCATTGTTAGTTCTTGTCTAGTTTTCATTAAAAGAACAAAGATCTTTTATATGGATATCTTATAATTATATAATCATTGCTAAGTAAGAAGTTAAGTTGTTGCTATCGCAACAATCCTGGCAGACAATTGAGTAATATTTTGATGATTTATTTTGTTTGTAATTAGTTATTATGAGAAAATCTAGTTCCTAGATATTAGAATAAAATTTATTTTCTACTGTATCCATTTCAAATGTTAAAATATTGTTTAAATATTTTTTGAAATCCCTGAATATCAGGCCTTGTTATAAATAAGCTGCATAATCAATAGATCAAGGGACTTTTTGTTGATAATCCAAATACTCAAAGTTTACGTAACAAGAATTATAGTGTGTGTGTGCAAACTCTTGAGGGTTGATTATGCTGCAGTTTAGCATGTGGGAACGTATAGAGAGAAGGTTGACTTTTTGCACTTCTGTATATAGTCAAAAAAGAGAGAAACCTGTATAATAGTAAGATCTTATTTTGAATAAAAATGTCTATAATTACAAGGAGTTTTGTTAAGGCTAATAAAATGACAGGCTGAACAAAATTGCTTGCAAAAGTGGCACAGAGTTAGCACTCCATACCCCTTCGAAAAAGTTGCTTTGCTTTCTGTGGACAGCTTGTAGTTTGCCAGGATTTTTTCGGCTGGAAAGATACGCCATCCTTCCAAGATCTCATGACTGACAAAAGCTCCACTGGGTCAAATCTGCCTGAAAAACATTAAGGAGGAAAAAAAAAAAAAAAAAAAAAAAAAAAAAGAAAAAAAAAAAGGAAAAAAAAAGCAGGTACTTCAAACCATCAAGGTAAAATCATGGATCAAATATTCCGTACATTATTCAAAAACTACTGCATGTTTAAAGTATCAGAGAAGTATATTAAAGATATATGCTATTCAAACCAGTTTCTGCCAATTTCAGTGGTTTATTGTTCACAAAAAAAATGATTCTTCAAAACAAATACTGACTTTCACGAAAGAGTTAAATGATGAACAGGCAAACCAAACAGCACACCGTAGCTGTAGTTGTTACGTGATTATTTTTTATCGCTGTAGTGGGCCTGTTCTTTTAGCAGGTGAAAAAAAAAAACCAAACGACTGGGAAATTTTACCGTTTTCATGGAAAGCGCTCAAGAAACCTGGCCTTGCCTATGCCAGAGCTGGGAGGAGCGAGCGACTGGGCTGCTGCCGTACCTGCGCTCGCCAGCACTCACACTGAATAATTAACGAAGTTGCACTTATTTGCAACCCCGCGACTTTCATCTGCTGAAAGGACAGATGTGCTTGGTTTTACTCTTATGTAATCACAGACTTCCTTTTTGCTTGTAGTTGCTCCAAATTATGTACTCTGTCCTGGGCTGCAATTTGTTTTTATGCTTATTTTATTATTACTGCTATAGTTGACCTTGCTGTATGGAAAAAAATAAAGTGAAATTGCCCTAGTAAAAATTCTCTTTCTTCATTACGTTTTCCTACATCAGGTCAGAAGTCGCACCGCTGTCCTCCGTGCGTGTTTGTGACGTGACCCGCGCCTTCGCTTGGCCGAAGGGTTGGCGTTTGGGGGGGACACCCCTGTGTGCCGGTGTTGGGGGGGTTCCTCAGCGGCGCGTGGCGCGTTCAGCCTGCGGGACGGCCCTTCGGGACGCCGAGCGGTGTCACGGCTAC